GTGATAACATTCACTTTATGTTGATGCACTTTGTAGCGGTACTAGAATTTGTGTCATCCATGAGATAGATGATAATAGTGTACGACACTAGAAACTAACCATACGATATCACGAATAAGCTAAAGTCTGAAATGTCCATTAGTCATTCACATGAAAGTTGGCAGAAACATCAAGACTAAAAACCAAATGAAGCACATTTACGTTGATGTTTACTTTAAAATGCTCGTCCTTATTTTAAACTTCTAGCATTCAGTCATACAGTTACATGTTGGTTTTGAAACTATGTTTGAAATAATGTGTAAAAATTTTTAAAAAATATCGTATTATATGTTTATAGTTGTTGAACTAATAAATATTGTCGGAATCTAACTTGTTTTTATAAAATGTCATTTTTAATTATTAAAATAGTGTGTTTATAGAAACGACACTTGGCAATCAACTGTTATTCATTTTTCTATTCCGACTAAATAATCAGGTAATCAAAAACTTAATTCCCTAAGTGTTTGACAGCATCACTGCCACTTAACTCCTCAACAGATAATAAAGTGAGGGACAAAGTAAGAAATGTAAAATATAAGTTAGCATTTATAGTTTATTATGAACTGGAGTTCGTATCTACAGATTACTATTCAAAATTATGATTTGTAGAGGGGCATTTTCACGTTACTAATGAAGCAAGTATAACATACATGATATTGACCTGTGTTTAAAGTTAGTTTCCTATAGATAAGTAACCTACAGGGTTAAATACTTGCTACCATTCCCATTAATTCAGGTGGATTATTTCAATGACCTTACCTTTGAGCTGAAGAAATGAGTTTTGATTAAATCATTGTTAGATGAAATGGTTCTGCGAATCTATTATCAAGATAAATATAACAAAGCAAGTGTAATGCATATTAGTACGGTGACTGTCAATAACTTAGAGTTGCATATTTCTCTGATATATGTTTTAACCATTTTGTCAAAAGAAAAACAATATTATTGTTTTCTCAGTAATGCCAAAACCATTTTTCTTCGCAAATCTTGTTATTTTGTTGGATACCTAGTTTTATAAACTAAAAAACAGTTTTGAAGTGTTTAAATAATTTTCTAATCCAAAGTTTCTTCTCTCTTAACTAAACTTGTTTTTTTTACGGAAATACTTTCTTATTATTATGCGAAATGCAATTGAACCACTTGTATCAGGTTCTGTACTTAATACTACTGATAGTCTGATTAGATTTCGAATTAGAAAAGACAATCAATTAATATAAATTAAAACATTAGTCTATATCCCACAAATCTTATATTAGAAGCCTAAACAAGCTACATTTGTGTCTAGAGACTGAAATAGAAAAAAAAGCAAATTTATTCGACCACATCATAAACAATTAATTTATGGATTTATTGTCTACTGAATACACTACTGTTAACCTTGTACTTTATCATAATTAACATTTTTACAAACTTTTGAAATAGCTTTCTAAGTTACAGTTGGGAAATTGAAAATTCCTTTCATTCCTTTGTGATATTGTTGATTTTTATTGATTTCAAGAGAAAAAAAATCTAATTTAGTTAGGTGACTATTTAACAAACGGAACCGTCTTAGCGGTTGTTCATATACCAAATATTATCCTGATGATTTATTAAATAATTACCAGATGTGTAAATTATTGTCTAGTGAAACTTAATAATCTAGACATAATTATCAACACAATGTGGCCATTGTTTAATTGTCCTATGAACGGTGACTAATGATTTTTCATTAGTCATACACAAGATAGTTATTATTACTATTACTATAAAGTGATCATTCACTAAAAATATGACAAAATCATTCAATCTTGTTATCTATACCGACTAAACTGTGTCTATCAAATATATAGCTTAGCTATACAAACATTTTAATATGTTTGTTAATAATTATAAACATGAATTGCTGTTTATTATTTGAGGCCGGTTGTTTTCTAAGTAAAAATTCCCATAGGTGAAATAAATGCAATGCATGAAATGAGCCTAATTTCTTATATTCAACTGTATATGTAATCCTAACCCTAACCAAAATTATTCCTCTTCACCATTCGATAGGATTTATTGCTAAAACTCTCAACCTAATTTTTCAGTAGTAAATCTATTTATCATTTGATCATAACAGAAGATAAGATGCTAAGTATTACTACCAAGGTTTTATTTGATAGTTTTAAATAGATTAAACATTACATGAGTTGTTGATAACAATAAAATAATTATATATTTATAAAAGGTGAAAAAGTGGATTTCTGACATTTCGTAACCTAATTTAAGTTGCTTCTTCAGTGAATAAATTAACACTACATAAATTCGTATTTATTCAGTTTACTTAATCATTTATACTGTGAAGCGGTGATTAAAACTAGGCCAATAAAATTCGGCTATTCTAACCGTTTGGATAAAAAACTTTTTATCATTAATATGTTGTCATAGACAATATTAAATTTAGATTATGAAGTCATGAAGAATGCAGATTTAAGCTAAGTAAAGATATTCGAATATTTGATTGTTTAGAACAATTACAGTCGATACGATCAAAAAATAGTACTTATATTAATGAAGAGTGTTCTGATTCTCTTTGAACTCCTAGTTTTACATACTTTATAGGGTGGTATAATCACTTTGAAATTGTTCGCTATTTATCAAGATTTTCTTCTTAAATGATATGTTTTCTAGCCAATAGTATGTGTTGATGATACAAACATAGAGCTGACGAATTCAACGTATCACGTGTTTATCTAAAATCAAAATCAGCTATGTGATAAGAAAACATTTGTTTTTACTTAAGTACAATCGTTTAAATTCACTCTGGAATGTTGTTCAACTTATTCGTCAAATGTTATTGTATCAACGGTTTATTTGTCAAAGGTTATAATTTCGATTTTTCGATCTAAAGATATTTATTCACAATTACAGTATACTTTTAGACCATTGAAAAAGATTAATCCCATTATTCAGCATACTTAGTTCCTAGAAATATATTATTTTTCTTAAATCTTAAAACCGTTAGAAGAAAGTATGCATAAATAGTATTTCATAGAGTGTTTTAAAAAAGTTACTACAACATTTATTTTGCACTTTCCAATTACAAATTTCCAACTGTTAACAAGAAAAACACAATGAATTATCAACCGTTTTTTTATCAATAAACTAAAATCTTTTTAAAAAAGTCAGTTTTAAATGTTAGATGGAATACACAATTAGATAAAACAATAGAATTCAGATAAGAAGAAAACTAAGTCATGTTTGCTAACCGATGAATGTATTTAAGTTCTTCTTTTATGCTACTTAATTAAAGCTAAACAACAGTTGGACAGCAAGGCACCAACTTTATGACATTCAATAAAACAGAAGGTGATGACTTCAGATTTGTAATACTTATTTAAATATATAAATTCCTGTGCTCAGTAGTGATCAATTTTAAAAAAGTAATTACGTGAGTTCTAGTAAGAAGTTGTGATCAGTAGAGTTCAACTGTCAATTGTGTAGTGGTTAGTCATAAATGTCACTGATTAATGATTGTGCAATATTACGAATCTCTTAAAATTAAGAAAGTAAACCAATTGACCTCAACTCAGTGGTAAATAAGTTCAGAGCTCACAGCGAGAGCTGAAGGTCTTGAGTTCGATTTCTAGTGGGGTTGTGGGTACACCTTGCTTATGAATCACATACTCGGATGAAACAGCTGTTTATTACATCCTTATTTTCGACGATTATTTAACTGAGATTAGTACATGATATAAATTACAAATATCCGTCTATTTGTTATTAATTCTGTTGATACTAATGAAATGAAATGAGTTTCGCAAACAATCCATTGCTATTTGTTTTCCAACAATATCACCCCTAACAATGTAAAAATATTAGACACAAATGAAATATACTGTACTTAATACAACCAATTAATGAACTGTGTTTACAAAAGTAGACGTGGTTAAATGTGTTAGATTGTTGATATATCATAAATTACTTAACTAAGCTATTAGTTTTACTAAAGTTTCACTAATTCACACAATTCAAATAATTGAGAAAAAAGAATAAACCAGTATTGACGGAAAATAAATCAGTAATAATATATAGTTTTACGATAGTAAGATCTTTAAAGGCAATTTTTTGACAGACTAATATAATCTGGAAAACCATTTAAAAATCAAGATACACTGAACAGCTGTTTTATTCTTGTTTGGAATCTTTCATCCCTTTTCTCCTATCAGTGTCGCATCTGGATTTGTAGATTATATCAGTCCATGATAAAATAAAAAAATATCTACAAATGAAATTAATCACCAAAAACTAAAACTGTTACATACAGAATAATCTGTAGTAAGCGTACCAATATGGAGTGAGAAAACCGGTTTAAGGCTTACTGGTTATTAAACCAGGAAAGGATCCATTTTCATATAATTCGTAAGTGCTGTTAAGAATGAAAATCTTGGTAATATTGATATTTAGTATAAGTTTTGGTCCATAAGAGTAGGATATAGATTTATTCTCTCAACTAGCGTTTAAGAAATGCTGTATTTCCTGATAACTGATCCAACTAAAAATTCAATATCACTGAATATATTTTCAGTGTATTTGATAATAACACTGCATATAGAGAGTTACAGCCTTGTGAGTGTTTACCTGGAGCTGAGTTAGAGCATGAATTATTACTATTGGCAGTCTTATCTATCCATTTAATTTCATTAAGACTAATGATCTGAACATTAGTTTATTCTTGTTAAAAAACAAAACCTTTTAGCTTTATTTATTTAGATTGCATAACATAAGAAAACCAGTTTACTTATATATATTGCAAACGATATCAAGACAGTTTTTATCTACGCATTTTCACCATATCAATACCTCTTATTTATCTTGAAATAAATATACATACAGTTAATGATCATGTCTTTTTTTCTCTAAAAATAAATCAACCTTTAAACCATGCAATCACATTTCATACACAACATCATTTCGATTATCAAACAATATGTTTTACTTACCTTGATCACTAAAGACTGTAGGTAAGGTGATGCTAACAGTAAGTGTTAATATTATAATGTAGTTAAGTTTATGAAACTTTACAGTGGGATTTTTAATCATAACCTCTGTCATTTCAATAATCTCTGTAATTGTGTTATGTAAGCATAAGTTATTTTTTTAAATAATGGAAGTAGTTTATTCATCTAATCAGTTATATTATTTACTTATGTAAACATTTCCTTTGTAATAATACAAACTGATGATTAGCATAGGGAATGAAATGCAATCTGATTCACAGTGAATTTTTATTATTCTGTTTTTGCCCTTCATTTGATTGGATAATTGGTTTATTCAAATTCAACCAATCGGTTAGTGGTATTCTACTAAGGTCATATAATTTAAATTAGAAAATTATTTAAAACATGGATTTATATACACAGGCTACACAGTAAATAGGTGTAATTTCCGGTTTCAAAATTAGTCCAAAATTTCAAATGTTGATGATAGCATTGTGTACGGCATATTGAAGAGATAATTTAGTCAATAATAAGATTAAATAATTATCAGTAGTAATTGATTGTTGAATAATATCGAAAGAAATCGATAACACAAATGAAGCCTATGCAATTTATGGAATTGTCACTTTCATCAATACGTTCTACATTATTCACTGCTTAACAGGATTACTTTTTTGTTTTAATTCTGTTACAGTTTGATCCAAGGCTTATTTAAACACATAAGCATTAGTACATGAGAGCACCAAGTATATATGCGCCACAAAAATTATTTAGTTTGTGTGAGGGATAGGATACTGTCTTGGTGTCCAAACTGAAGCATTTTGTTTCTTACGGGGCCACTCCCCGAGCCTTTGACCCAAAGGTCTCATGCAAAAGGCAGTGGAGCAACTTAAGGAGATGTAATCACATGGTATCCGGTGACCAACAATAGGTTCATACGCCATTTGTTCCTTCAGGATGCCGGAGCCCATGTTCACCAACAGTTTGGAATCACGGTTTTCTAAATCCCCTAGGTAGACTCTCCGTGTCCACCAAGCCGTTTAACGAGCCGGACATTCCCTTTTCTTCCTCTCAATGTCGTAAACAAATCCGCACCACGAGAAGACAGTGAGTAGAACTTCCCTTGCAGTGGCTGTATCCGCGTGGTCATGTGAGAGCGTTTAGACATGGAGAGCTGACTTTCCCCACTCTCGAGAACAATTCATATCTTTGGTATTATGACCAAATTGACATTTGGTTCTTGTGAGCCACTTTACAATATGATAATGTTGTGCAGTAAATAAAAGCATCAAGTAATCTTAAGTTACATATATAACTTTTATAACTTTTAAACTATGTTTTTCCGTGTTCTAATTGTAAGTCGATTGAATTGAACCATTCATATATAACATGAGAATGATGAACAAAGTAAACAGTTTATTCGTTTTTTTTGCTTCGATTATTTAATTGTTTATTTTCTTTCTTTACAACTAAATGTGGATTTCTTGATTGTTGTCATCAACATCACCATCGTCTTGTAGAAAATAAGTATGGAAAGATTTCAGTGACTATCATGAAAACATTATATGTATAGAAACTTTCTTAATTAATGCAGTCTAAGTTCATAGTATTCTTATTGCATGTGCATAACTAAATAGAATGATTTACTTACAGAAACTAGGCACAAACCTGAGGTAATTATCTTGAAAATTATAACTAAATTATTCACTATTAAATTTATAATTTAATAGTGTTGTCATGTTGATGTCAGCTGAAAATTAAACTTTCTGACTCATAGATACTTGTGAAGAGAGATTAAATAACCGTTTATACTTGTTACCTTCACAATTTTTGTAATTGTACGATTAGAATTATATTTAATTATAGTTTGTTGTTTTCATTCATCCATAAGCCTTTATTAAACTCATTGAGGAATTAAACTACCATTCAAATTCTCACTTTTTATAATGGAAAATTTAAACGATCACAGTTGAAGTAACTAATATAAATGGAACAAAGTTTATTCAATAAAATACCTACATGATTGAGATGATTGAAATGATAAATTTACTCGAAGAAATGATTCATACATTCTGAATCAACATTTTGCAGACATCTGATAGAATATATCAGGTGGTTGATACCACCGTTTATAAACAACATATCAAAAGAGAATAATATGACTTACATAAAATATGGGGCATAAATGCTATCTAAATACATAGATGAATGAATTTCGGGTCAAAATCCAAGAGCGTCTATCCTTATTCCCATTGTTTCGCCCATCGATTACAGCCTCGCCTAATTTTCTGCAGATTGTGTACACAAATAAAAGAAATTAATAATATTCATTTAAACAATATATGTAAGATTATTAGTGTGGGATTATGAGGTTGTTGAACCATCCTAAGTTAGACCACCAATAAAAACCTGAATGGCAGTTTCGTCCTAGTGTAGAACTCATCAGTAGTGCGCAACCACTACTCCGCTCCCGATAGTCGAACCCACAATCTTTGGTTTCGCGTGTGATCTGTCAAACTCTAGACTACTGAACCGCCGTTCAACTTGTATGAACGATGAAATATAAAGTAATTGAATATTCAAAGCTGTTTTGTATCTATAAAATTATTTATTGTTTAAATAAAAATGTAATAAAAACCTTGAAAAGTTTAGATTTTAATGATTTCAAATGTTTACTGTGATACCATAGTTTTGTTTGCATAATAATTATGCACAAATGATGAATACTCGCAAAAATTTCATTTAAATACTGAAACCTGATTGTAAAGCAGTAAATTAAGTTGTACAATACTAATTTTCGAGATTATACTATTGAGAGTAGAACAATTTTATCGTTTATATTCTAATGTCGTTTATAAAATTTAGTGAAAACAGAAGTATGAATGCTCAAATTTATCGGGATTTCAGCATTGAACGCTTAATATCACATATTTGAAATCAAATAGCAACATATTTTTACTGATACTTCATACAGACAGGTGGGTACAGTTGGTTATCTGAATATTCTTTTATAATTTAGTGTAGACTATTTCAGGGCTTTGATAAGGAACCTTATGAAAGAATACCTTGTATGAATTGTTTAAAGTTGTGTAACAAAATGATGTAAAACCAGCATAAAGCAATAATCATTGATATATATATAATATAATTTTAATTTAACAATCATTGATCCGACTTAGATGAAAGTTTGTTTAATGAGTAGAAGTCTACTTTTTATCAGATGTTTATGTTTAAATGTCATATTTGTACTCATAATAAATAAGTCACTAGGGATACCTTTCACAATGACCATTGACAATAAAAAGGACCTGGATATTTGTTTCTCTCTACTTTATAATTCAATACTTATGCACACATACAAACTGTTCATATGAATTACCTAACTAAACATTGTCTCTTATTTAAATGAGAAGAAATTTTTTTACAGCAGGGAAGCGATTGTCTCCAAATTGTGAACATAAAGAATTATGTATTTATAAGATTTGAAACAATAATTTGAAACAAAAGAACAAACTAATCATTTTAGAATGGTAATCTATACAATTTAAAAGAGTAAAACATTTGTCATCTAAATTAAACTGGATAGAATGAGCAAATTTTTTAAGTTTAATGTAAAATATTAACAAGTATTAACAAAAAAATAAGAAATTTATTTTACCTCTTAAGGTACATCTCATAAGCTGTACATTCTAATGTATAATTTATACCATTCCTAGGCAAAATGGGTAATCTTTATAGAAAAATCCAACAAATACAGTTATTTCAATAGTTGAAATCATGAGTTAATTGAAGCTAGATCACCATGAAATACCTGGAAGCACTGGACAGTTATCTTGAATATCATTTTCCTTTTTAAAGATTATGTCAATTTAAAATTAAGTCTATGGAGATCATTCGTGTCTGTGAACAATTTATTTTAATCTGGTTTTATCTACATTTGGAAACTTTTAATATGAGATTATTAGATTATTAGAATTTTGTTAATCAAAAACATCTACTAACTGTTAATTAAATGAGACGATTTTGTATGAGAGTAAATGAATCCAGATTATATAACCCTTTTAGATAATAATGTTTTACTGCCTTAAAAATGATTATAAATCCATAAAAATGTTATGAAGTTTTATATGCGATTTGATTCTTAGACGTGAAATAAAACTAAGCTCATTAGAATTAAACAAGAGAGAAATTGATTACACAGAAAGCTTTTCTAGATAACTTTCTCTCAAATAATTTCAAAAAATGTGGAATTAATTAATTATCCAGAATTATCGAAAATACACACAAACTAAGGATCTGTTTATCCATGGTGTAAAACAATCTGTAAGATAATAATCATTTAAAAATAACCAACGACTAGGTGTATCATACAGAAAATTTAGATTTTATTCATTTAAACCGTTCACCCCTCATGGGACATAAGCCGCTGATCAAGAATCTTCAACCAAATTTATTCTGAGGTTTTCTTTTTGGTTGTTGTCAAGTACTGCTCATTCTTTTGATTTTTGCCTCCGATTTCCGGCCCCACGTGTTATTTGGTCAGTTACTTTCTCTTTTTACCTTGAGATTGAGTTTAATAATTTCCACAATGTGGCCAATTGAGGGGAATAGAGGAGTGCTAAAGCAAATGGGATAACAAATCAACTGTCACTTAGAAAACCACTGTCACATGTGCAATCGCCAGGCATCTTTAGGACAGTAGACATAAGAAACGCATTTAAAATAGCTAACCAACACCAGTTTTACTCCGTTTTTCAGAGGAATTCACCATCAAACATTTCCGACCTGATCTATATTTACAGTAAAGTGAGTATGACTAGTCGTTCTCTGACATGGTGACTGAATGCTGATTAAATAACCTTTATTAGTTTTTTTCAACCCTCCTTTTATTGTCTTTGAATATTTATGTTTTGCTTAATCTGATTAATACTTGCATATTTATTTGATTTTTATTCTTAACATGTTGCATGACTATGCAATTAATGAATAATTGCATTACGTTTGCATAATCTCTTTTATCTTCATTAAGACTACTAGTAATTACAACGTCAACTATTTTATTCTACATTACTACTTTCCGACATGTGATGATTACAAATGCATTTTAATTATGTT